GGTCGATATACCGCAATAGGGACAGGCGTACTGATGGGGTTCGGTCTCCAAGTGATGAATGTATGACTCCTTCATACCGAAGAACGTGTGACAGGCCTTACACTTGAAATTCCTCGGCTCTGTGCGATGAAAATGACCGGAAGCCGTGAACTTATTGATGTGTTGGTCCGTTATGAGGTGCGCCACTAAGTCCTCGTCGGAGCCGAAGTATAGGTCACAGTAGGCGCAGACAAACACCTAAGCATTCAATGCAATCAATTAAGACATCAAAACAAAGAGCTATAACACGAAGCCATACTTCGTCCGGATGTGTGATAATAGTCTTCTGCGTGTGATTCGTCGAAATCATGTGCTCCTAAAAAAACAGTCGATGAAATCAATTAGACAAACGCTCATCAAAACACATCCCAATCAACAAGTGATGGGAAAGTGATGGACAACTGCTTACGTGAAAGGCTTCGGCGGACGTGAACTGTTGCTTACAGTTGGAGACATTGCATTGAAATTCTTTGTTCAGCTTATGATAGTTAGCCATATGGAGGTAATACAGGCGATACACTTTCACCATTTGGTCGCACATACGACACCAATGGCCCACAATTGTGTCCACTTTCGACTTGCGGAGGTCCTCTTCGGGCGTCAGGTCATCGATGGTCAGCTCTTTGGGCAACGGCGGGTCTATGAGTTGGGCCGTCGTGTTGGACGTGTAGCGTCTCAGATCGGACACCCATCGCATGTGGACGTGGTGTTGGTGGAGGAGACAGATCTCGTTGTTCTCGAACTCGTCGCCGCACAGGAAACAGATGGCGGCCTCACTCTCGGCGTCAGTAGCCGGCTGTACGTGTTGTTTAGCCGCGCCTTTGCCACCCTTATCCTCCTTGGAGTCTCTGTCCTTATTGCCGGCCTTATCGCACGTCTGCGCGTGAATTAACAGATCTTTGCCGCGACCGCACGGCTTGAGACACGCAACGCACGAGAACTCCTGGGGCCCCGTCTGAACCATATGTGACTGTTGGATGTGCTTATTGAGCCGATCGATGCCAATGAGCAGTCCGTGACAGTAATAGCACTGCATATTCTGCGTCGAGTTGTTAATCATATGCTTCGCGCGGAAGTGGGTCTTCAGTCTCGTCAGGTCTTGCGTAATGAGTACACAATTCTTGCACTTATATGACTTGCATTTGTGCTCGTCCTTCATGTGCTTGTGGTGGGCGTCGAAGTCCTTCGACTGGTGCTTGCATTGACTGCAGTAGAAGAAGAGGTGCATCCGGAGTATCTCCTCCTGCTCTATCATTGTCACCTCCTTGTTGTGCTCCAGACAGTAGTGCTGCTTCATGTTCTCGATGTTGATGAGCCGCACCTCATCGCCGCAGTACTGACAGGGGGCGTTCAGGGGGATGGCGTTGTTGTTGCTCTTCAGCTGCTGCAGAATCGTCTTCGGCAGGCATATGAAGACAATGTCTTCGGAGAACTTGGCGTTCGCTGTCACCACTTCGAGCTCGTGTAGCGTCCGGTAGTGCGATATGATATCCTTCTCCTCTTTGGTCGCATAGCTCACGTCAATGCCTTTGCAGAGGAGGCAGACGTAGCGGTTGGGCTCCATTGGGGACACGATCTGACGGAATAGGAACGACTCGTCTTCGTGTTCAACACTGAGCGCCAGATTCAGGGGTAGCTCTGAGTGCAAGAGTAGTATTTTGTCGGGAAGTTTCGTCAGTTGCGAGTCATTCTCGACATCGAGAGTGCATTCGTGGAGTTCCGGCAGACCGTCGATGTATTTAGTCATCGGTGTCGCCGTCCGCCTCTGTGCCGAAGCCGGCGCCTTCTTCTGCGTCGCCGCCGGTGTCGACACAAACTTCGGCGTAATCTTCGCGCCTGACGCCTGTCCACCGCCGCTCAGCTGCGACTTCAGCTGAGTCTGACTGATGGCCAACAGCTTCGGCGTCGATATCGTCTGCTTCGGCGTCACTCGAGAGTAGGTTTGAATCACTTTCGGCTTATCCGTGTCCTTCTTGGCCGAGTCGTCCGACTTCTTGCGACTTCGGGACGGCTTGTAGTCGTCGTCCGCGGGGTCCGACTTAGCGCCGGCGTCGTCCGTCTCGATCTCAACCGA